CAGATTCCGTAAATTAATTTCTATCACATAATAATATGATTCCGAATTCACATAGTAATTGTAACTCGCATAATACATATATGTACTGAGATACATTACATATCAATCTATGTACAGGGTTAATCAATTTCATGTTTTTTACTCTAAAAAGTATGAAAAATTACATAAATTGAGTATTAGGTATACTATTTATAAAGCTAAATTATCTATTGACTATTTATATTTATATATAATCTATTTTTAAATCTACTTTTTCTTATTCAAATTCCAACAAGATATTTTATTAATAAGTGTCATAATAGTATGTTATATTATATGAATATTTTAATTAAAACACAGTTAATTGTTCGAATATAATTATCAGTATAAGTTCAACTAAGCTGGTTATTCTGTTGCTTTTTCCATTATTAAGTTCCTTTAAAGTTAAGTTATTTTTAATGGTAGATATAATAGCTTTAAATATATTAAGATGAAAGTAAACCTTATAACTAGAATAATTTTTATTCGTGTCATGGATGGTTGTTGTGGTGGGAGGGAGGGTCAAGTGCAACGCACGAAATACGATTATATTCGGATTTGTATTATTGACCACAATATTAACTAATAGCTATGAAATTATAAAAAAATGTAGATATTTTTTAATAGTATTAAATTTTTGATTTCTAAAAAATAATATAAACAATAAGCCAAGAAAAACCATGACAATTTATATTAATATATAATTTCACGGATTACCTCAAAGCGTTACTAATATGAACATTATATTTATATTATTCAGCTAGACTAGTTTAATTAAATACTCTATCAACTAATTATTATGCTGTAATAACCGAAGTTAAATTAAATTTATTAAAATCAATATATTAAAAGGGTTTTACGTTACACGTATCACATTTATGTGCAATCTTTAATCCTCTTTGGATTTAGTTAATTTGGTATAGTAAGGTGTAATAAAACATCTTTTTAATTCGCATTATAGGCTAATGTGCATTGTCCATTGATTATTAATATTTTATTATATTGTTATTTACCTATATATATATTATATATATTTTTTTTAATTAATAATTCGTGGTAAACAGATGCTTGTTGAATACGCCGTGTTTTTTTACTTACTTGCATTTTTAAGTTTTGATATTTTACACACTTATAACTAGCTTTAAAATTAGAATATCCAAAGAATACCCTTTAAAACAACGACAATGATGTCTTAAAGTTTGGTAATATGTCGCTATTCACTCTAATAATAAAACTAACGAAGCTAAACGTGAACTGCAGACCGAAATTTACTTGTTACGCACTTGTAACACATCTGCTTATTACTGTAAGATAGGTAGGTACAAAAAATTATGTAGCATTATTATTTAATATAGGTAAATGTAATAATTCCATTTTATTACGAATATTGAATGTATACAATATAATACATATACGTACCGGTATATCTGTATGAGTGTTAGGTAACCGGGCGTACGTATTATTATTATTATATGTCTGAGATTATAATATGTATGCAAGTATTGAAAAATGTTATGTTTTGATATAGTTATTATTATTATCAAACTAAATTCATCGTTAAAAAATAAGTTCAATTTCAAATGTTTGAAGATCGGTAAATTACACGCAATAATAACAATATATAAAACTGAATTGAACTTTTATTGATATACGATTTCGTACTTAACAATGGTTTCTTACATACAAAGTTGTATTTGTTCCTTGAATAGAAATTATGTTGTTTAATTTAACGAGAATAGGTTAAAAAAAAATATGTAATATAATACAATATTTATACAATATACATTATACTTATAGGTATAGTCAGTAATCACACTACGTGTAGAATCAAGAATGCAGTATATACATAATAATACAACTATACATGTATAGAAAAATAACAATGTTTTGTTAAAATCCTAGTCACATAATAATATTCATTAAATTACATAGCTCTATTATTATAGTTAAAATGTCGTAACATCAACTTCCTGTTAAAATGATCAAATTATGGTAGATAAACTGTTGTAACGAGACTTTTTGTTACTTGTTCTGAGTTCTGCGAATGAATAGGTAGGTTACATGAGGATATTTATAACATTATAATTTTTGAAAAACATTTCCCATGTATGATTACGTTGACTACAAAAATACCAATATTATTTATGTCCTGAGTGGAGCGATGAATGTAGGTATTGGTTTTAATTTTTTCTTTCTGTCATCAACTTTTGGAGCATGTGGAAATGCTCCAATCTTCTAACTTAACATTTCAAAAGTAAAAAATGTCCAATACTTTTCTAAATAATCTTGTAAAACTAATGAAAATGAGAATTTTTATAAAAAATTAGCGTGTATCATAAGCATGTAAAATTAAAACTGATTATTTTGTAGTTAAAAATTCATAACATTTTTAATATTAATATTCAGGGTTGCTACGCACTCACTATTTCTCACTGTTCTCACTTTATTTGAGTGTGCTCACTTATTCGCACTTATTTCATTGATTCCTCACTTTTTTAACTTTTTTAAAGATCTATAAATGTAAATAAGTGTTTAAATTAAATATTCGAAATTTTTATAATTATTTATGTTTTAAGACTATTTTTAAAAATAAAAAAAATGAATTGTGGAATAAAAATCCCCAGACTACAATAATACTCATAACCTCATGAAAATTGTTGAAATATTTTTTAAACACTAATTAGTATCTATAATTACCACATTATTAATATTTAATTACAAATACGTATATTATATTATATTATACTATATTATAATATCATTCAAAAAATTAATATACATAATACTATAATATAAGTTTCTACAGTTGTTATATTTGTTGGTTACCTACATTTTGTTTATGTTATATAAATTAGGTACTGTAGGTAGAACCAACTATTATTAATATTTAAACAAAATTGTTTTATAAGTATAATTTATAACTTGTTTATAATAAACTGAAAAAGTAAAAACAACTGAAAATATTTTAAACTATTGTATTTTATTTTTATGTTTTTGTTTAAAAAAACTCACCTATAATATGAAAATAATACTCACTTTTTACTAGAATATTACTCACTTAATTGAAAAAAATACTCACTATTCTCACTTTTTTTAAGAAAAAAATTAGTAGCAACCCTGAATATTGCAAATTTAACACAGTAATTCAGATAATTTGGTCTTGTAGCAATTTATAATTATCGAAATCCATTGGGTACAATTTATTTTATTAAAGGCATTTTGCCAGTAATTCAATAATTAAACGAAATTATATACGGATGGGTATATTTATTTTCTTTACATATTGAAAGTGGAAAATGTCAAATTATTTAAATACAATTTAAGCTATTTAAAAGTAAAGGCTGATACAACGTCTCCGAGCAGAATCCTATAATTAGTAGCCTCGTATAGGTTTATTATATTATGATTTATTATCAAATTCAAATATAACACGCAACCATTACTCTAGAGACTTACTCAATGACGAGCTACACTCGACACCTACTGTGTAGCTAAGCGACTTCCCTAGGTTTTTTTCGTTATCCTGTGATCAATCTACCTTGACTGCAATTCCGCTTAAACTATAGGAAATAAATAAAAAGGTAAAAGAAATCTACCTATAAGATTACATATTTTTTATTTTGCTTAGCTACTGAATGTTATGTAACATTATGGATTTCTTTTTTGTTTATTCTATTGTATAATTTGGGTCCCTTAAATTTATCTCCGAATTAGGTACGTGTGTATTTGTTGAATTTCCTGCAAATCAATAATATATGAAAACGGTTTTGAGGAAATATATACATTTGTTTTCGTAATGCATTAAAAAATAATAGAATTGATTATTCAACCAACATCTATTGATATAAACAGTATACACATTACACATACGTACCTATTATCTACTAGGGGTATTCTATAAGGTTTCCATACGAATAAAATAAACATTTAGTACGTATTATTATACGCTTACAATAGGGTTTTATTAAAAATAAGGCCTAAGCTCTTTTAAAATCAAATCATTTCCATAAACTTTAAATTCTGAACACATTGGTTTTATGACGACGCGTGTTAAAAAAAATGGATGTGTCTGTGAATAAATATTTTTTGGGGTAGTTAAAATGCTTGGATTCTCTACTTTGGGCCGGATTAATATAAAAATTGTTTTTCTCGGTCAAAATCCTTGAAAATGTATTACAAGGTTTCACATAAGTTAATCTAATAGAATCTTAAAAATATTAAAAACATTGCAATACCTACATTTTTTTTTATTAGATTTCAATATCAAATTTTGAGAAAATCCGTTAAAATCATGAAAATGTATACAAATTATTTTGTAGTTAAAAACGATTTAAATTTTCCACTTTAATAGCTAAGGATTGAAAATGTAATAAAGGTTTTATTAATACATTTTTCTTACAGGGACCTCTATAATATGTCAAAAATATATTTGTACAATTTTTTTTTATAGATGTTTAATGTTTAAATTTCTAAGAAATTGGATACTAAAATGAAAGATAACTATCTTAGTTTGTTGTAATTCGAAAAATAATATTCGTAGGGACTTGAATTTTTTTGCTTCTACGTATATTATTATTTATTGTACACAATGACATTTTAAAATTATATAAAATAATATTATAATAATTATTGTATAATATGTGCAATTTTTTCGTCAAAAAATAGTTCAAAGTTTAAACTACCATAATACTAATGGAAAATAAATTCCTAAAACCAATCTAAGTATATAATAAAATATCTCTTAGAAATATAGGCTGACAGACCGTCTCCATCTACTCTCTGAATCGTTTTTCGTTGGCTATTTATTAATTTAATTGTTTCATACATTAAGTGTTTTTACAATAAATCATTTTTAGTGATTTTTTGAAATTAGATCATAATATAGTTAATTATATGAATTGCTTTTTAATCATGATAAATGATGCTTATAGTTGTGTTAATACAAATATTTATATCTATTTTTTTTTTTATTGTTATTGCAGGTAATACATGGAGTGCATATTGAATCACCTCACATAATGAGAAAAAGAAGTGTGAATCAGCCGCTGCGAATTCTTCTCTATTACGACGAGAGTGTGTATAGGTATGTTATTGTGTATATTATTATGATACTATACGTTTATTTTAATTAATGATCATCAATTCACATACTTATATACAATTACGTTAAATTACAATGAATGCTTTTTTGTACACGACAAAAAATGAGTAGTTATTTTTTTATTATTGTAGTTCTTTTATGTAGATATTGCTATAATGGTGTTACAATCTTGAGTCTTGACGTAATCATTTCTCAATGAAATACGTCATGAGCATGCACAGTTGTTATTTTGTATATACCGACGAGTCGTGATGTTTGGATATTTAATTGACGATATATTGCAAACAGCCGCATAAGCTATGATCCATCATCATCGTATTTGCAGGTCTTTGATAGATATTTATATATTTATGTTTTGCTTAGAAGATAATATCCCAATTTAATATTTATTCAAATATCCTTCGTATAGAATTATCTACCGTATTTGTATCTATAGATAGAAACAGAATGATTTAGAGGTCGTTAAGACAAAAACATTTGTGAACAGATACTATTAATCATATTATTATATATTTTATACCATTTGCACGTACTTGTTTGACCTGCCCTATTATTAAAGTTAAACACAGTTACGTACTTTATACCTGTTAGTTAAAATAAATTAAAATACAAATGTAAATAGATAAAGATACTAAACAATATTATGTAAAGTGCAGTATGCACAAGTGAAGTTTCTTAGATTTTTGTTGATAATTGTAAAATTAAATTTAAGTATAGGTAACTTACTATTAATTTCAATCCATACTTTTGTCCACAAAAGTGATTTATGTTTAATTAATTTATTTATATTTTACAGAATGTAAAAGAATATGTAGGTTATTTTAAACAAAGTTTAGACCTATGTATGCTGGGTTATTTTTAAATTGAGAATACATTTGTATATTCTTATTTATTTTAGCAGCTGTATAAAATGCAAATGTAAATTCACGTAACCATATTTTTAAAAACTTTCTTACCAACAGTTTTGAATTACTTTATTAACCACAATAAAACTCACAATAAACTTCATCTAATTAACATAAATAATTGTACTAGGTTAAACATAAAAGATTTCTTTAAAATAAGAATTATACTTAATTGCTGTACATTTATTAAACATTTGTTTACTAAGCTATAATTATTCTGTGTTCTTTTTCTTTAGTCAATATTAAATATGTTCAAATATTTATTAACACATCGTTAGTTGTACTAATTCATATTTCATTAATATTAAAATATATAAATGATTGTTAGTTTCTGTTTATTTATTTATTTTATATGTTACAATTAACATAACTCATTAAATGTGTCCATGTAGCTATATAAACTATATTTATTTCAATTTAAATATGGAATTTTTAAATTTGGCCACTAGAATAGAATTTTATCAAAACACCCAAGGCCTGAAAATATTTTCCATGCACATTGTTCATAGGGTGTTGTGCTTAAGCTTCGGCTATTATTTCAATATTTTAATTTTCAAGACACGGATATGTGAAATATCTCAAATTAAAATATAGAATACAATCTTAACACTTAACCGCAGATAATGTTCTTACCTAAAAGTTTGATAATAAGTCAATTCACTATAATAACAAAACTAACAGCACACTATTGAAACTAGTGAACGAAAATTTGCCATGTCGTACGTGTGTAAGACGGAGACGACAAACTTATGGGTAGCGTCTTCTTAATATTTTTAAATAGCTATAAATAATAATAACAACTTAAACCTTGTATTAAAATTTCAAACTTTTTGACCGATCGAATTATTCTTATTCATAGTTATAGGAAAAAACTTAAAAAAATCGAATGTATTAACTGTCAATAAATAGTTCAATAAGAGTCGAATTACTTTGAAAATTATAGGTATCAAGTATGTAGAAATTTCAAATATAAATACTTGGTTAAAATTTATATTACCTACGGTTATTCGTTTTTTTTTTAATTAAAACTAAAAAAAATCGATTATCTTGAAAACTAATTTTGCATAAAAATGCACATTTTAATTGTTATATTTATTAAGGATCTTTTTTTTTGTTTTTCCCACTTCTAAGTTTGAACGTATAATGTGAGGTATAATGTCTATAAAAAGTGTGTTTTTATAATTTCTTTAGATTTTGTGGTTCCAGTATGAACCACTTATGACTCAAAAGTTATAAGGAACCTTATATTGTTAAGCCTAATAGCTATAAAAATTTACTTTTTATTAATTTTTAACTACCTACAAAATAATTTAAAAATGTTTTCAACATTTTAACTTTAAATTTTAAAAGCTTCTAAAAAAAATTGTTCCTATGTATATTCAACATTTTTAAATAGCTGTAATAAAATGAGGAATCATATTTTACTCACCTAACCTAAACATTTTTAACGACAGAAAAATGTCTATAGAGAACTCAAAAGTGTCGCAATATCTTGAAAATTATAACAGGCATAGAAAATACTAAAATTAACATTTTGTGAAAAATTATTTTTTTTTTTTTTAATATTACAACTAAATAAGAAAATTTGTTTTTTTAAAACTTAGTTTTGTTCTAAGTTTAAAATTTTAAAGAGTTAATTTTCTATGTCGTTACTCGTTATGGTTCTAAACTTATTTGTAATTTTGGATGATAAAATTTTAAAATTTAATTCTGTATAGATACGTATAATTTAATTTCTATATTCATTGCAATTTAAGATCCTAACATATAAAAATAATTACAATTTAACAACTTAGTTCTACACAGATTATGTACCAGAGACTGGAACCGAACCTAAGAGAACCGGTTTTGGAACCGGGACCTTTAAAATTTAAAGAACCGGAACCTTTATTTTAATATATAAAGTACCGGAACCGAACCGGAATTTTTATATTTTATAGGTTATTTTAGGTTCTAAAATATAATAATTTTATTTATTTATTTTTATTAGATAAAAATAGAGTATTTACAATCTGAAATATATTACAATACTATAAGTAATTTTTTTTTTTATTGAACTTTAAAGCTCGACGAATATGGCCATTAGCTGATTGCAAAAACTTTGTCAGTTATTTTTATTAAGCAACATGCATACAATTTTTTAGAGTTCTCAGATGTCCACTTATCACAAAAACTTTAGGTCAATATTACTTCATCCATATTTTTGTAAGAAAATTACATTCATAGGTCTATAAATACAAATTTATAATAATAATAATGTTTATTTGATGTTCCTACTAAAAATTAGCTGGAACCGGTACCTTTATTTTTTTTCATCAAAGAACCAGAACAGAACCGGAACCGTTATTTTACTTTTGGAGAACCGGTGGAACCGATGCCGATAAATTCAAAAGGTTCCAGTCCCTGTTATGTACACACTAATAAAACGAGCTTTTCTCAGTGTTGTTTTTTGAATGTGATGATTTATCATTGCTTTCAAATATACTAGGTAGTTATCTTGAGTAATATACATTCCTATATATTATAATTTTTAATTCACTGTTGTGCATTGGTAATATAAGCAAAACGATATTGTTGAAAACCCGATCTCTGTATATCCTGACTGGCTATTTTTTATACTTAACATGACTTATTAATTTATTTTGACATCGATCTTCTTTTTATATGTAGATACCTCACCCACTATTATTATAACTTCTTTGATTACGATATACAATAAATAATTCTGTGTGATATGTCCAATTGTGCAATAGCCGAATAACAATTTACATAAATTGAATATTATAATTAAACTCAACGAACAAATTACCTAAGGCATTTTGTTATTTCTACATATAGGTTAAATTAACTAATCTTTTGATTTATTGTTCAATATTGATTCAGTAAAAGCAAAACCAAGGGAGCTCCTATGTATTAGGTTTTGAGCGTACCTATAGTTATTGAGTAAGTCAGTGTAAGGTAATGGATGTGTTACATTTGAATTCAGTGATAAATCTTTTTATACGAAAAAAAATCATTCCTGGTGGATTAGTATATTTTTCTATCAGGATAAAAAAAACATCGCATGCGACTCAGTGAATACCGACGTCTATTATAGAAATTTGTATTGTCTACCTATATAAAATAATAATATACAAAATAGTAAAAAGTCTACAGTTAATATTTTTTGAAATACAACAAAATAACTAAAATCGTAAAAATCATTATTTTAGATTTGAATACCCAATTTCGTCAAAAAAATAACTTACGATTATATAAAAGATTTTTTTCTATATTTTGCAATTATATACTATAAGTACAACTTGCTAGGAACATTGTGTTACATGTTCATATGTATAAAATATCCAAACAATTTTGTAAACATTTTCATGTCTAGGAAATACTAATATAAACATTTGGTGAAAATCTTAAGTCATTATACATTAAAAAGTTCTGAAAATTTCCTTTTAGACATCGATCTGTTTTTGGATTGTATGCAACTTATTTTTTTTTTTAATCGTTATGATTTTTTGTTTTAACGTTTAAGTAAAGAGTTCAACTGTTCTTTAAAACTGGATGATCAACAGTAAAATAACATACATTATTGTAAAAACATACCTATACCTTGATTCCTCTCCATTCAGAATATAAATTATAAGCTAATAACTATTATTATTTTTACTTTGTACAAATTTAATGAACATAAAAATAACTTTTTAATATCTCATCTAGGTATACAACTCTGATTTTTTTTTTTTAGAGTTTTTAAGTGCTTAGGTACTTTTTACTGTTTATATTATTAAGTTTAATAATAAATGTTTCTAAACGATTTTTATTAATACATTGAAATAAAGAATGTTAGTATGAATAATAATAATTAATATTGTTAAATTTCAAATCAATTTTTATTAAAAAAAATTAATCACTATAGTATTGTATATTTAGGAATATATTTATGTATTTAAAACCAGTAGACATTTCTTCCAGCACACTATCTGAAAAATGGTAAAATTCTACGTGACTATAATAATAGTCTCAATTTACTGCTGATTGTGTCAATTAACCTAAAAAAACATCGTATAATAAAGCCTGTTACAA